GACTGCATCACGATTTTGGCATCACACAGCGTTTTTATTGGGGAATCCGAATATGTATGTTACACACACACAAGAACTCACTCACATGGTTCATACAGATTTGGTCATGTCTAGTAGTGCAGTGGGCCATATTGCTTACAGTTTTTGTCGGTTTGAGTTTCAGAATAGTACACTTTTAGCAACGCATCCGGTGTAGGCTGGTGGTGATCTGGGACGATAAAGGACAGAACAAGCTATACAGTTGACCAAGCCTGCAAGGTCTTTCAGTGTATCACACACACTCTCCTGTAGAAACCACACACACATTACCCTCATAATTCAATATTGTCCAGACTTTGAACAATTCCCCTTATTATTCACTTGGAGGAAATTTGAACGTAAGCATACAATGAGGGCGGTCACTGAGGTGGTCGGCTCCAGGGAGGGGGCGAGATAAAGGGTCAGTGTGGCCTGCTAGGGATGGGAATCAAGGCTGTTTAATTCCTATTCACCCAGGTTGCGATATTCTTGATTTTGGTTTTGGTAGGGTACTTGATGACTGGCTTCACCTCCATCGGTTTTGTCATATTTTGCTCCTTTTACTTTATCCCGGGCAGGGGAGTCGGAACTGGTTTCTATATTTTTGGCTGAAGCGAAACATGCCACTAGGAAGTGGTCGCTGGGAACCAACACTGTTTTCCCAATTTAATTTGTCGAGATCCACCTCTGGGGAGTAAAAGGTGGGTGTGGTGTGTGTGGTTAGGTGTGGTGTGTGTGTTGTGTTGTGTGTGTTTTTTGTTGTTGGTGTGTGTGTTGTGTGTGTGTGGGTGGCTGGTGTGTTCGCTGTTGTTTGTGTGTTGTGTTTTTCTTGCGTAAGTTGGGTGTGGGTGTGTCGTGATCGTTGTCGTGTTTTTGGTCGGTGGTGGTGGTGTGTGTGTGTGCGTGTTGTTGTGGGGTGGTTTTGGTGTGTGTGTGTTGTGTGTGTGTTGTGGTTGTTTGCTGATTTACGTTCAGCGTTTCAAGTGGGACTGAAAAGCAGATAAGTATTAGTGGCATCTTTTATCACTTCTCTTTCCCATGTGCGCCATACTACTAGGTCGCTTTCTCAATCAGTTTGTTTTTTTTAACATCGTGTTCTTCTATGTGTTAAGATTCCTCGGTTTAATCCTGATTCGTTGTATTTCTTTTTGTCAGTCTAGGGAATCATCCGTATTTCCCTTCTCCATGTGCCAAGGGACCAGACACACTTGACTCAGTTTCAGCTGATGCTGATGATCACAATGTCGTTCATGTCTGGACAATGTCACTGCTCTACATGTGCATAGCCTCAGAGGATGCGGTTAAATTCCTACGCGGTTCGGTTCCATAAGACTTCGCAGATGGACAACCAAAAACATTAATACTGCGCCGTAGCCTGCCCAAATGGCATACCATGGCCCTGCCCTCTGTCTGTGTCTGTCTTTCTCCCTTCCTCGGCATATGTGTTCACACTTCATCATTTTCCAATGTTCCCCTTATTATATGCCCACAAGGTAGTCAAGTTGGCAGCTTCAATATCCGGGTAGGGATTTTTATTTCTTAAAAAAGTAAATTATCCTCCCCTATCTATTGGCATTCTGCTGAGATGATAATTATTTACAGTACAGTAAAATTCATTTTACCAAGCAGAGAAACCTTGCAGATAACAACAAAATCCGAACTTCAGATTCAACAAAGCTATTTAATGGAATTATTAATTGGCATACAAGTGTGTAATATCATACTGATGATAACTCTGACCTTTTTATCAATGAAGGCGCTTTTGCAAAACGTAATTATAAACTCAACAACAAATGCAGCTCACAACTGCTGAAACATGTGGTTGCATCCATCTATTGTGGTATGTCCATATTTTAAGTCGATTCGTGTTTATCATAAAAACAAAGATTGTTCTAACACCAGTTATTAAAAAGGTGGGTTAGGTCATTTTGGGAGAAACACAGCCCGAGTGCGCTAAGAATTTGAAAATACACCAGCCGGAAAAAAAATCTACCACTACCTTACAACGAGTCCCTCCTCCAACACACACCGAACACGCACATGACCAATGAGGGCACGAGATAATTTGTGCACAGATGGAAGGCTGACAGGCAGGTAGGCCATCCAGTTTATTTAGCGGGCGCCGGCTAAAATGATTGGTCGTGCTTTTTACAGTACTACGGCTTCCACAGATGAAATTTTTTTTAAGGATATGTTGTTCAAAGCACTTAAGATATTCATTGCTATCGGGATGTTAAGAGCATTCCATGGAATATAACAAAAAGTGTATCTTGAGCCGGTTTATCAAACTTACCTACCCCACCTTTAAGTAAACACAGCATAATAATGTGGTTTTATAAGGCTTTGGGCCTTATATGCCACCAACCATAAAACCCCTAAGCCTACACATCATTGAAATTAGAGGAACCTGAAGATGACCCTGCAGATATCTTGTCTTTGTGTAGTTATTATATTCTCATTCTGAATATAAATAGGCCTTATAATGTATTAAATGGTCGAAGATTTACTTATAGTACTTATTGTAGGCAGTGCTTTTCGGCATAAGTATTAAACATTTCTTTGATTGTAGTTGGTGTGGCCTTCAGAATCACTGAAACTAACCTATTTATACACAACATGTTGAAGTTGTAATTATATTTCAGAGCACGAAATGCTAGAAATGTCTTGGAAACAAGGGTCAACACTTTATTTTCCGTGTCCCGTCAATTCGGTCCAATTAGCAACTAGAGAAGCAAAACAAGAGTTGGAGTTGAGAGACAATGTGCACAACCAAATTGTTTAACAAGTAGCCAGTTCACAGTACCAATATATTCAAATCAAAAACTTAAATCATCATTAGACGTGTGTGGGGATCTGGACAGTTGAATTGTTATTACCAAAACCTAAAATGTGATCGGTTGACATGGACTACAAACAGAACAAGAGAGCTTCCAGTGCTAACATCGTGTCCAGCTGCCTTCATATCTGCACATGAAAGCTGAACTTTTTCTTTTGGTTTGTTTGCCTGGCATTCAAATCGTAATGTAATATTTATATTCATCTATAGCTTTATACTGTATATTTATCTTAATCTTTAGTTAATAGCCGCGTTCACACCGCAGTACTTTTCCTACTTTAGTTCCGATATAGTCCCGAAATGTCGCGTTCACACCAAAAAGAGCCGGAACAAAAATGAGTTCCTTTTTACCCCCTTTTCCGTCCCTGCTAGAGAGCAGGTACTTTCGTGGGAGAAAAATGTTCCTATGTCTGATTGGCTGGGCGGATTAAAAAACCACGCCCCGTAAAACTCCCAAAAAGTTTTGTGAAGCCGTCATTTTATTATCTTCAGGTGGCAGTATACGCCGTGAAGTTGTTTGCGGCCTGCCAGTAAACCCAAAGCAGAAGAAGACGAAGTGACGTCATTTGCCTAATCCTCCCTCAGGGACTTATTCCGGTGTGAACGCGATCTGTACTAGAGTTCTCATGAACTAAGTTCTGATTAACCTTTGTGGGAAAAGTAATGCGGTGTGAAAGCGCCTAGGCCTCGGGTGTCGATTTTTTTAATTAAAGTGTCATATGTTGCATTCTCTGAGATTAGAAAGGTTAAGTGCAGGATCGAGTTTAGTTCACTGAAGACTGAGTAGGTGGGGCCAATACTTATTAAGGACAGAAAACACCAAAATATTTGATTATAAAAATGAAGCACTGAGATGTAGAAGAGCCGTGTCCTCTACAATATTATTTTGTTTTTTTAGTTTCTTACCTCCTCTTTATGTGCATGCATTTTTGATGAGGATCTGGAACACTAACTCGTTTAATTTGATGCATGCCCACTTAAGTGTGTTGTGTAAAATTGCAATATGCGTAGAGATATTCACACATTCGCAGGTTTGAATCTGCTTTGACTTTAAAGAGATGGATTGGAGGCTGTCACTCATAGGTGCGGGGGGGATTCCCTGCCAAGGCCTCCAATGGCTCTGCCCTAGGGAGTTAGGACAAAACACACGCTCTCGCACACACAAACAAACACAACACAGTCACTCCAAACACAGCTCTGCATAATGTACTGCCAACCTCTCTGTGTTGAGAAATGGCTTTGCTCCAGCCATGGCCACATTTCCAACACACACACACACACAGAGACACACACACACACACACCTCAGCAGACGCTCAGCCAGGCTCCCTGCCTGCAACGTGACCCTTCTTGATCCTCCATCAGACACACACACACACACACACACACACTCAGAGCCACTCCAACCTGCTGAGTGGCCGAGTGCAAGCCGTCCACCTCTCGCCTACTGACAGGGAGTAGAAGTCTGTCAAAAAAAACATCCAACCCAAACCAGCTTAAAGGTCCAACCCACTCAGAAATCCTGTTGATTCCAGCCTGCTCTTTTTCTGCGGAACAGTCTGTGCCCTGTTGGCATTTGATTTGTTAATATCAATAACAAGAAATGGTATGACCATAAAGCCCACCTCACAATAACAACAAGATCTGGATTAGAAGATGTCATACATTAGGTGCTGCTGCAGAGTTGCTCATTCTAAGGAGCTAAACTGCATGTTGGTGATTGATGGACAACAGGTTTAGTTGGTCAGATCCAGTAGCTGTGTTTCCTTGCACACCAGCACCACATTTGGTGACTTTATTCCCTGAGAAGCGAGTTCTGGTTGTTTCATTTTAGTTTGCAATGCAGATCTTTGCACCCTGATTCAATGCTTGTTTTTTGTACAGTATTTTTCTCTGGGTTCATTGTCCATGTTTTTGTCTATTTGATCTTCCTTACCTCAGTGACTATTGCCGATCTGCTGCCATGGTGACAATCCTCAAGTACTTTTGAGTTGTTCTCCTTTACAGTTTCTATGAATGTACTGAGGGTGTCAGTTGTAGTTGGTTAACAAGCTACAATAGGTTGGCTTTTGTATTATTACATTATTGGCCCTATACCCTTTTTAAATGTATGTTGTGTGATTGATGATGGGAAAGATTTATGTAGATTAGTAGTTTAAAGACCTAGTTCGTTAAGTGCCCTTATGAAGAACTGGAATTTGGGCAATAATAAAGGAAAAATGAAAAGTTTTGCCCTCCACTACTTTAAATTGTGTAGAGTTTCCTCCTAGGTTCAGTTATGTGACAGCTCCCTGTGTGTTTCCTACTCAGTAATGAAATTATTCAGTCAGGATACCAAACGCTGCAGGCCAGAATATGAATTATTTCATCTCCCGCAGATTCACAGCAGTGTGGTGTGTGTGTTTCTGTACTGTATTTGAATACACAAAGTTGTTTTACATGTCTTCATAAGGCTGCAAGTCACCTTGGAACAGGACTTGCCAGTGGCTCTGTGAGAATGTACTGCACAACAGAGCTTTGAGAGAAATGCTTACATGCTCACAATGACTGCTAACATTTGATATGTAGCAGGTATAATCTTTACAAAGTTCAACACCTTAGATTAGCATTTTAGCATCGTGTTGCTAATCGGTACTAAACAATGGATGTATAAAGAGAACTTAGCAAAGCATTGAAGTTGGGGATGGTTTTTTCTTTGAAAGTAGTTCAGAGGCAGATTAATCCATAAATGGTTTGACTATAGATAGAATAGAACCCGCATCATTGGGATCATAGAGCATGCACACTTGAGTTTTGCTTAAGCCCCACCTCCAATCCACTGTGTCACATGGTCTCCGCTCAATCAAATGAATGGGAAGGATAAATAAATAATTCGGCTTCTAGTGCATTTTACAACTTTTAGAACCTGATGATTTAAAAAAGGGTTATTCAAGCGTTTGTTCTGGATAGTTTTACAGACATCTCTTTGCAAATGGGAAAAGGCTTTTGGGTCCTATGATCTCACAGACTGGTACCACCGGTTGGACACAACGAAATGTAGCTTCAGTGACTGGCTTACTTCTTTGGGGCTTGTACTAAACACAAAGTAAAGCATATGCATATTGGGATGTTTTAAATGTTACTTTATGACCAAAGAAGTTTTTTAGATATGTGTCAGAGAGAATTCAATGATAACTTTTTATTGTTGCCAGCAGTAGATGAAAAGTCAATCTATCCAATAAAAAACAAACCAATAAAAAACACAAATATAGTCTTAATGCTACTTAGAAGAAAAGTCCATTTTGTGGCAACCCATCCTAAAGTTGTTAAGAGATGTTAGTCTCTGATAGCTATATAGCGACGGTAGTTGTTAATCTGATTCAAAATGTCTCCCTCCTGTCATCTTCCTTGGGTTGTAGTGAATTTACTCATTAAAAATCATGTAAATATCCCATACAGTAGAACACAGCTCTCCACGTTACTGACGTGGTCAGTAATTCTCTTCCACAGACTTACACACACCTCTCAACAAATATCAGACACCCAGAGATTTTCCTGATAGAAGGCAGAGCTTTGTACTATACTCTGAACAAGTCAATGTTCTTGAAACTCTGCCCATCTCCTCCTGGAAACAGACAATATTTCTGTCTTCCTCCCCCTCTCTTTTGCAATCTGCGGTGTGCGATTAAGGCAATTATGCTGCCTCTTCACAACACCCACCAACCCAGCAGCAAAAAGCTGGGAAAATAGAATACAGCGGGCGATAGCAAGCAAGAGAAATGTAGAGAGATAAATGACTGATGAAAAGCTTTCCCGGGTAGAAGGTGGCAAAAGTCAATGGGTCTATTCATCACTCAGACCATTTGGAGCCACATCATGGACAAGCTTTCACTGCACCAACATACAATACATCCTTACAAATGCCACTGCTGGTTTTACCCTAAAATGACTCCCTTAAAACCACTGACTGACAATTTGTACTCCGAAGTGTGATGTTCCTAAGGTAAAATGCTAGCTTTTGTTGTACAATCTCAAAGAAAGAATGGAAATATTGAGCTGGACTGACCTGACCGAGGTTCAGCTGAAGTGGCCAAAAATGAATTTGACATTGTTGTAAATTAGACCAAGATTTAAAAGGGCAATATTATGCTCATTTTCAGGTTCATATTTGTATTTTGTGCCTCTACTGTTTACATGCTTTAATGTTCCAAAAGGTCTTTATGTTTCTCGTACTTTCTGTGCTGCAGCACCTCTTTTCACCCTCTGTCTGAAACCAGAGCCCAGTCTGCTCTGATTGGTTAGCTGGTTGGCTTTGTTGTTATTGGTCAACCGTTTAGAGATGTCCCTTCCCTTATCGTACAATGTGTTGGAGCGCTAACCAATAGAAGCGATAGTGATATCATAATGTTACGGAAGTTACCTTAAGAATCCAATGGAGGGGTTTCAGGCAGGGGGGAGTGTGTAGGAGAGAACTCCCTCTGGGGGGAAGTTTGGGATTTTAGCTTTTGCATTTACATGCACAAAAACCCATATAACAAGCCCCTTACAACATAAAATAAAGAGAGGAGCAATGCTGTTTTGCTGCTCTCTGCCTGGAATACAGAGTCCATCCACATTAGTTCTGATCATTGGCAGCCTTGAGGCTTGCTTTCTCTCTTCTTCCACCTCTCTCTCTCTCCTTCTCTCTCTTTGTTTACCACGCAGAGGTTGATTTATGGCAGCTGCACTTGCAGAGTTGGGTGGCGTGGACGAGATACAGCAGCTGAAGGGGAGAGTGGAGGGAGACGAGCAGAAGAAGGGGAAGCGGGAGGAGAAAGGGCCATAGGAGAGATGTATCACGGGAGAGGAGAAACAGAGACTGAGGGTTAGATGAGGATAGCAAGTAAGGAGGAGGAGGGAGGTGGTGTGAGGAGACGAGGAGAGGTGTTGGATTGGCCTCAGGTGTCTCACACTGATTTGTATCTTTTATGATGCTCTTCATGTCAAGGTCTCATGCTACAGTCCCTCTGGCCCAGACATTCCTGTCTGTGTGTTTATTCCTGATCCCCCTCATTACCATAACTTTAGTCTTGTCATTGACAGTCATGGTCAGGATAGGTTAGGTTAGAGCTGATAACATTACATTAGACTTTAATGATTACTTTAGGAAAGCAGGGCTGTAAAGCTACAGATCACTGAAACAAGTGGGAGTTATGATAATATACAACTGGCTATTCAAGCTGTTGTATTGGGCAGAAAAGTCATGAATGGGGCCGCCGTAATGCTCAGACCCTTAGTAGAGCTGACTGCCCATGTATTTGTTCCCCATTTGCCGTATGTCATCCCCAACACTGTCACAGAGAACTAGCTGCCCTTCTTGTAGAGCAATCGTAAGCTAAAAGGGTTCTCCTCACAATACACTATACAGTGTGTACATTACGCACTACTAAGAAATATGTCCCGAACTTGCACTCGACAATGCTGTCACCAACCAATGATCGGATGAACGGCTGTTGAAAAACGAAGGACCGACAGAAAGACACACAGAGAGACAGATAGACAGACAGATGGACACACAGATGGACATGTTCATGAAGTTGTTTTTGCATGCTCACGTTCTGCAGGGACAATGTTTAATTTGTTAAAATCTTAACAGGTTAGCATTGTAAAGCATATGCGGAATACCATTCATATTGCTTGGATTCAGTCATGATACATAACAATTTAGACTTAATGGTGGGGTTTGATGAAAAGTTAAGGGTTCACTAAAGTTATAACAATTCACCCTGAATGGAACATACAGTCAATGTGTGCGCCACATTTCATGGCAGTCTTTCTAACCAGTTATTTGACCTGTTGGTGGCCCTAGAGGAAAAGTCAGTAAGGTACATGGTTTGCAAATTACCACTGCCAGATTTGTATCGTACAGTAGATGTTAAGATATGTCAATCGGTCGGTGAACACTTGGAGAAAAATCAGGAGATCACCAAGCACATTTATTCTCTACGTACCAAACATGTTTGTAGAAAAAGGAACGATTTTTGAGATTAACTAGAGACAAAACCTGAGGTTGGCACTAGAATAAATTAAAGGTAAACTCCAAAGTTAGTAATCATCCTCTGGGGACCACCGTTGTCTGATTGGAATGGGACCGAAACACTGCGCCCAACACTATATTATGATACGGTTTTGTAACATTAGGAATTGTCTCTTCTCTCCCTCCCTTTCTGCAGCGGGTCAGTTGAGCCAGTCTGCCCACTTCTCCCTTCAGCTGCCCTACACTGTGCTGGGCCTCGGACGCAGCGCCAACTTCCTGGATCACCTTTTCGTCGGCATCCCCCGGAAGCCCGGAGAGACGGTGAGGAAATATAAGAGGGTTATATAACCTGGCCACAGGCTGTACGCTCTCACAGAATGTTTAGATGCAGTTATAGAGGTGTGTATGACACCTACAGCAGAAAGAGAAAAGGAGAGCTGTGTGCTTCAGAAACAAAAGATTAAAAAAAAATCAATGTTCTCTTGAGATCAGCACTGCTAAACAAAAAACACATTGTCTGCCTAACCCTGAAAAATCCTTTAGTACCTGCTTGAGGTTGTTACTTCCTAATCAAGCCGCAGTGGAAGCAAAAAGATACTGCTTTAAACTGCTGTTCATATCGAATGAGGATGTCTTCAAAAGGTTTGCAAATGAGGGAAGCCCATAACAGGAGTATTGGTGAAACTGATAGTCCACACATTTATTTTGACTGACTTAAGAAATAATTGATCAATGTTTATTACCTTAACCCAAAAATAACAATTAAGACTTACAACTTGCAATCATTTGTTCAATATCTCCAGTTTTCTATTGCAATTATTTGGTTTGCATATGTATTTGTGGATCCTGTTTATTCTCTTAAATACAAACAAGTAAAACGTTGTTTTAATCTTGTGGTGAATGAAGACAATTTAAAAAGGACATATTATTAAATATTTATTTTTTCACTGACCATGCAAATACTTGTGGGTATCTATAGAGCCAAGAACAGTGACATAAAACAACATATTCTTTCTTGATTTAACAAGACATTCAAAAAAGCAAGATTTGGCTCCACTTCATATTTGGTACCACTTTACAATAAGACTACCCTTATAATGGATTCATAAAGGTCTTATAATTAGGTTATGAATTAGGTTGTAAACACTTTATTAATCATTAAGAACCATTTATAAACCAGTTCTAACATAGTTCTCATACATCAACACATGCTCACTATTTGGCAAGATGACTAAGCCTTATATTGGCTACTTAGCGAGAATCAACTCAGTGAACAAAAGATACCAAGGATGCTGGCTGATGAAGAAGGCGAAGTAAGCTAAGTAGCCAATTAGCTTAGCAGTACAGATAAATGTGGGCTCACTATTTGGCAAGCAACCGTGACAGTTGCCCTGTTTATCTCATGTCTAAAAGCTTATTAAGGATTTATAAAGTGTTCACAACCTAATTAATTAATTAATTACAAACTATTCGTAAACCCTTTATAAGGGTAGTTGTATTGTAAAGTGGTACCCATATATCCATTGCAGGCTAATCACCACTCATCTATTTATCTCAACTCATTCCTCAAGGCTAAAATCCCAAAGTTTCCTCCAGAGGGAGTTGACCAATCACAACAGAGCCGGCCAGCTAACCAATCAGAGCAGACTGGGCTCTGGTTTCAGACAGGGGGTGAAAGGAGGTGCTGCAGTACAGGCAGTATGAGAAAAATAAAGAGTTTTTTTAACATTAAAGCATGGAGACATGTCACATCAGAGACACAGAATACAGATATGAGCCCTGTAAGTGAGCATAATAGGGCCCCTTTAATAATCTAATCCGATCGGTTATAATTTACGCGGTTAATCCCCTCTGTCTCCCTCTTTCAACCCTCTCTCTCTTTAAAAAAGCCACTGGTGTCCAAAAACATAATCTTAAAAAAACTATGAGCATTAAGTGTTACTAACAAAGTGTTATAGCAGTTACTTTTTAAGATGCTTATTTTGTAGCCCTCGTATTAGAAAGAGCCCAATTTTGGCACAATGAATATGACAGAATACTGAGGCAAGATTTGGCAGTAAAGTGGCAGTGAGAGAAAGATCTTTTCCTCATCCCATCTAGTGATTCAAGTAAAGAAGAGAAATTGCCTCTTTATGGTAGATAGATTCCATATCCTGGTTATAATGTAGGGAGAATTGAAAAAGGTTCAGCAAACCTCCCCACTTGAAAAAAGGAATATAGCAACCCTTTACATATGTATGTATATATATATATAAACAACCCTTTACATTAAAACCCTTTACATTAAAATTCAAACATATCTGTTTGACAAGCCTGAGAGTAGAGGACGTACAGTATGAGTGACTCTGGATGTAGCATATATGTGCCTCCCGTCATACGACAAGCCAGCGTTATATTAAAATCGTAAATTATTGATTGGGTTGATGTTTTTAATCTATTCGTCAACAACATTTCCTCACTACACTTCTTCAAATGTCAGCATTCTTCACTTCCACTATCTCCACATCCATCTCATCTCTGCTTTCTCTCCTCTCACTTGTAGCACTGAATAGCAGGCACGACAGGGAGCTTTCTTTTCCCCCCCTTTCCCGTGTGGTATACCAAGATCTTCGTCAAGCAGCTGATTAGAATTGTAGATGGGTCGGCCTGAGACTCTGAAGCTGTAGTGTGCAGGAGAACAGTCGCTCAGACAAGCTCTTTGTTGTCCCTCTTTCCCGCACACACTCCTTTTTCCTAAGCAAAGAAATTTGATCTCTTTTTCCCTCATCCTCGTCCATTCCTTCTACAAAGTGAATTAATGAATGCCTAACGATGCGGCCCATTATGCGGAGTAGGTTTTTTATACCCAGAGGGACCAGGGACTGGAGTTACTCTATAACAGGGGGTCCCAACCCCCGGACCGCGGACCGGTACCGGGCCGCGGAGGTGTTACTGCCGGACCGCGAAATAGCTGTGAGTTTATCGTAATATTTGCAGAATTATAAATATTTAAAAATATTTTATAAAAAAAAATTATTTTTTAATTTTGCACCTATACCAGTCATATTATTTCATCCAAAACATACAAAATGAATCAAAATTGGTTAGCATAAGGTCTCAGCCTCTCGTGCACAGAGAAAGTTACCGGTGCGCCAATAGGAAGTGGAGCACACAGGAGACAACCGTTTAATCGCAGACTGTTATGTTTATGTGGGGAAATGGCAGTGCATACATTATTTGAGATATATTTCGAACTCGGACTTCATTTTAAGGACATTGCGGCCAGGGGTCTAGAGCTATTTTTTTATTTGTAAAACCTCCTTCACTTCATGAAATGGCTGCAGCATCAGGAGGCAGCCTCTGAGAAGTGCAGCACCAGCGCGTACAAACCGCCTTCACTGTGTTCCCCACTGCAGGCTGCTACGTTTCACACACACACACATCGAACGGCCCGATTATTCCCCCTATTACTCGTTGTATGAAGGAAATGTCCGGTTACAAAGGCGCATGATGTGTGTGTGTGTATGTGCTCTGCCCAGTTCCGCTGTGTGTGTGTGTGTATTTTCGTGTGTTTGTGTGTGTCCAACAACGGCATTTGTTTTCAAATGACCATGAACAGTAATTTACACACATCTGGCCAACTCCATAGGTATGTGGGTGTTCCCAAAATAAATTAGTTTAATCTTAATCTCGATGTAGTGCTAAATGCTGTCGGAGTGCACCGGAACGAACGCCCCGGTATGACGTTATTATGGCTGGCAAACAAGCCCAGGGGTCTCCCTGACATTTCAGTTATATCAATATGTGTACAGTGGTCCTAATTTGTTTGAATTATATCCTGGTTTTAAACGTTAATATGTTTTGGATGCATATTGTTCTATTATTTGTTCAGGCTGTTACATACAATTAGCCACTGTTGCCACCTATATTAGGCTATATTATATTATATATTATATTAATATTTGTAAAGCGGTCCTAATTTTTTTGTTTTTAATTGTATCCTGGTTTTAAATTTCTTAAGGCTGTTAAATACAATTAGCCTCTGTTGCCACCTGCTGGTGAGTAAATATTAAAATCAGCTAAAATTGACAACAGGTCCGCGAATTTCTTTTAATGCATCTGCCAGTCCTTGGCACAATAAAGGTTGGGAACCCCTGCTCTATAACATACCTGTAATGAGGAGGAGGAGCTCTTTAGGATCCTGACCGCTACACCACCCTGCTCAGTCGGCGGGTTTGGATCTTTCTCTTCATCGCCTCTCTTGATTTATCCCTCTTGTTTTTGATTTCTTTCTCTCACTCTTTATATCTGTCCTGCTTACATTCTCTCCCCTGCTGGGCCCTTTATGATTGTCTCCTTCACAATAACAGTCCCGCATGCTGTTTCACAGTAGTGGTTTTGTTCAAATCTACTTGGATACCTTCCATCTTCTGTCCAATCATTCCTTCCCTTCATTCGCCCCCTCCCCGTCTCTCTCCTCCGGTTCACTTATCTTCCACCCAGGGGATTCCCTTTGCTGCTCAAAGTGGTTTACTTCTCTAATCAGTCCCCTCCTTGTCACTCTCACTCTCTCCCTGTGTGTCCCTCACCCTCCATCTCTGTACATGTCCCCCTCAGTTGCTCTCTCGTAGTGTGCCAGTTTCCCTGGCTTTGAACCAGAGTGTCTCTCTTTGCTCTCTGAAGACTTGGGAACACTTTCCTCTTCCAAACAGCCAGATCAGATCTGCTCCCAGGCAGCAGCGGTGGAGGCTGACGTGTCTCCAGCTTCACTCCCCCGCCAGTTGCTGCAACCGACGGCAGCGCTTTCCAACAGCTAAGCTTTTCCAATGGCTGGCGGGAAAGAATGTGCTTGTTATGTAAAAAGCAAGGCCATTATTGCCGCTTTTTCAAAATAGCTGTGGGATGTGGTTCCTCTCAATTGATACGGAACAGAGAGATACAATTAAAGAGCAGGAGCATTTCCAGATTCCGCCATAAGTAGAATTGGACATTCTTCATAGCTAGAATACAGATTTTAAAGCATTAATATAATGCCAGCGGTATAGATCGTTGAACTGTTAACCCCTAATGAGCGAGGGTTCAATTAAAATGAGTCAAACTTTGGACTAAACAGTAATGGAGAAAGAAAGCCAACAGAAAAATATGTTTATGCTGGCTTTTTCCAGAAGTCAAAGCCCTGTTGCATGAAGAAATTAAATACATTTTGTGTCAGTCTAATGTCATATGTCAGCGTTAAGTGTTGAGCCTTACGCAGCGTCCACACGGCGGCGTGCTTTGAAGCTTCAGCGCACGCCGCCGTGTGGACGGGCCGTTAAGGTGGAAACTACTAAAGGAAATGAAGCTTGAACTTTGAGTACGACTGCAAAGTCAAGCTGCTGTCAAACAGCAAGCAAGTGTTTTTAAAGGGGCCCTATTCTGCTCTAAGAAGAAAGAGGAATGTGATGTAAATAAAGGGTATCATATAGAAACATGCAGCCTATAGGAAATTTGAAAATTGTAACTATATATATCACAGGGTTGTGTTTGGACACCCATGGGCAAGGAATCTGAGAAATCATTTACAACATTTTTTTGGTTGTACCCACATTGGTGATTCTGATTACAAAAACGACGGCGAAAAAAACAAAGTTAGTGTCGGCCAAAGAGCCAAACCTCGAGGTTCATTTGTTGTTCCCAAACCAAAAGTAGACAACCTGATGACCAAGTTCCCTTGTACAGTCTACCACCCCCTCCCCATTTCTACTCAGTCATCTTTCAAATAAAGGCGAAACTGACAAACAAAAACATATTTCTCTAAATGGCATTTTTTAATAATAACTTCAGCTGCATAGCAAGGTCCAACACTTTTTAAATCACTCTGCTAATAACTTGACCTATAATTAGGCGGAGGCTGGGTAATGCTGTGTTTGGAATGACCTGATGTGGCCCACTCTAAGAATTCCTATTGTGAGTGGTAATTGGATTTTTTCTTCAGCGTTTCTATCTAAAGTCCAAAATAAAAAACAACAACAAACAAGAGGTGATGGAGCTGTCAACAAACAAGAGGTGATGGAGCTGTCAATCAAGCACGCTCACACAGTCTTAGGAAGGACCAGCGCCATATATATATATATCTCCCCATTTTCAAATCACGCCTCAAAACACATCTCTTCACACTCGCATATCCACCCTGATCATTATCCATCACACATCCTCTGTTTTTATTTATTTGGTTATTTGATTGATTTATATACTGCTTTGTCTTGCTCTTATGCTGGTGTTATGTATTGTGTATCTTGTGTTGTGTTTGTGCGGCGACCTTGAGAGCCTTGAAAGTCGCCTATATAAAATAAATGCTTTATTATTATTATTATTATTAGAAGAAGACCTCCCAAACATGGTTGCCATGGTTGCCTGTTTGCCCTTCTGTTTATTCTCTGCGGTGGATTTAGCAACATGTAGTTCTCCATGTCCACTTGTTGCTGATGGTTGTGGTAGAGGAGCTGTAGATTTGGGTGAGCAGCAGAGGTGGGGAGAGGCAGGGCTCTGGCTGTTTCGGCGGCCTCTGTTTCTCTTTTTCTCCCTCCCCGAGGCGAGCGTGTGCTCCTGCTGTAAAAGGCAGGTGCACCGCACCCACTGCC